GACAGTATTCAGAAAGAGACAGAGAGAGAGACAAGAGGGGAGGAGTAGATCTTGCGAGAACTTCCGGGCGGGTGAGAATATAGCCACTTTCAAAGAAAAGACCACTGGGTCACCACAGTCGGCGTCCATTTGTTGTAAGTTCCTAGGCCAGATTATAGAAACTGAGGAAGGCCATGGTCGAGTTGCTTGTACAAGTTTGAAGTCTGCTTCACACCCGGTACACCTAGTGATTGCGCACGCACATTGGAGTTTGAGTACGAATAGCCACTCGAGAGTCTTCGAGTCCGAATAAGCTGCGGCCAAATATTAAAGCCTAATGTGTGTCTAACAGTGAATGTGGTGACATTATAATTAATGTTTGGTAGGCGTACATTAGATCAAGATCTAATTAATCTACATTATGATTAGATTTGTACACAAGTCACAAGACAAGAAGAATATAAATAAACACAAGAAACAATCGTTATGTTTTTCTTCTTTTTTGCTCTTCAGTTCAGTCTTCAGACCCACCACGGTAGACTAGATCTAGATTATCTAATCTAGATTCTAAATCTATTTATTATAAACCTAGATAGATCTAGAAGAGTCTTGCAAGCAGAAAACACATTAATTATCTTGTCTGTCTTTCGACTGAAGAGTCTTGCACTTGTAGTGTACTCTTTTCGGGCCTCTCAAGTCAAGCTCGACTAAGGCCTGCTAAGGCTAAGGCAAGACAAGGTCTTGTTACTTACCCTCTGGTTCACAGGGAGTACTTTGCTCTTCCTTTTTACAGAAGGTGACCGGAGAACTTTTCTCTGGGGTCGAACGCTATCCATTTTACGAAACGTGAGATGCCAACTGTTCCCTATCCCATTTTCTTTTCACAACAGACGGTTCTACGATAATAAGTAAGAAGCGTTTGAAAATGTTCCTGCCTGATGAACTCAACAACTCGACTGGCGAGCAGTCGTTGATCCGAATGACATATGGTAGCCTCAAGTTGATTGGTTGGTTTTGACCTTTACCGGGAGTGTGCCCATTTTCAACACGGGCATTTCGATTTGTGTTTACAAGAAAATAATATCAATTCGTCTTGATAATAAAAGACCAGTAAATGTAGTTTGTTCGATTTTTGTGCTTTGCAGATGAAATAAATATTTTTAAATCAAATTATTGCCATAGCAAACTGGTAATTGGTGTTTTGTTTCCCAGACTTAAAGGGACCAAGGCATTGTATTCGTCACTAGGCTATTTTGAGCAAGCCAATGAAATGTTCGCATTTAGTCATCCTTGGATTTTCACATCGCATATTGGGATTCCCCAATCAAGCAAGAACGACTATTCTGAAATCTTTTTTTCAGGAAGAAACCTTACTGATTTTGTAGTTATCGAACTTATTCAATATGGCGGCCCCCTGTTGAAAGCTGAATGAAGAGCTGTGAACGTTTTTTCAGTAGTTTTATACGTTGTCCTGCACGATAACAAAACAAAAAAACAAAAAAGGTTTTAGTAAGATTTTTCTCGTACAGTAAGCTTCAAGATGTCATTGTACAGCAGAGAAAGAGGCTACGATATGTTTGATGACGAAGATACAGATTCTGATACAGCAGACAGGTTAGTAGTGTACTGTTGTTGGCTAGCCACTGCCACTGTTGTTAGTGTTAGTGACTAGATCTAGATTATATCTCTAGATCTAATCGTATTAACGGTTAGATCTAGATCTAGATCTAGTGATTGTTGTGGCAGTTGTGGGCAAGATCTAGATCTAGATTCTAGATCTAGATTTAGATCAAGATCTAGATTATCTAGATCTAGATCTAGATTTCTAGATTGTAGATCTAGGTCTAGATGTCTAGATCTAGCTCTAGAGATGTAAATCTAGATATCTAGAATCTAGATCTAGATCTAGAAATCTAGATATAGATTTTTGACGATTGTCAAGATTTCCGCGTTTAATTCCGATGTGCGCTTTTCAAAGCCTAAGGTATGTTTCGCTTTGGTCCCTAACCCTAACCCTAACCCTGACCCTAACTCTTCAACCCTAACCCTGACCCTGACCCTAACCCTAACCCTAACCCTAACCCTAACTCCAAATGCACCAAAGCGAAACATACCTTAGGCTTTGAAAAGCGCACATCGGAATTAAACGCGGAAATCTTGACAATCGCCAGATTTTTTTCTAGATGATCTACATCTAGATCTAGATTATTATAGATCTAGATCTAGATCTAGATTAGATCTAGATCTAGATATAGATCTAGAATCTAGATCTAGATCTAGATTCTAGCTTGAAAAATAACAAAGTGACTAGATTCTAGATCTAGATTCTAGATTTCTAGATATTTGAATTTCTCACATGCGATTAAACGTAGAAAGACGCAAACTATTTTTTAGGTAAGGCGCCCATCTTGTTTGACGTCAGACCAGGATAGCCTACCCCTCCGATCACGTGACTACATCTAAGTATAGCCAAGCGCATGGCACCAAAGATGGAAGTGTCATGTAGATCTAGATCTAGATCATACACTTAATCAATCTACACCTCTCTCTCGGAAGTTCTGATGGCTGAATAGACAGCGCGTCTGCGTTTGAAGTCATGCAATGATTTTTGGAGCGGTTTGATCCCGGTCCCGGACAGTTTTTATTTTTCTCTTCTCTTCCTCCCGACTGAACAACAGTCCCATAAATTATAGGCCTAATTTGTAGAGTTGCTTTGAAGTTGTTGTTTTTTTAAATAAATATATTAGTGATTAAAAATGCAGGAGAGGGGGGGGGGTGGTAGATCTAGATTTAGATATCTAGATTCTAGATCTAATCCTCCTGCGTCTTTACGGCAATTTTCGTGCGGTCTTCCATCATGTCCAAGTAGGCCTACTATCTAGATCTAGGAAATCCGAAATGTTACCGAAAACACGTCGTTCCATGTGGGTATCCCAGGAAGTGATAACATCACAGTACTAAAATTAGCAGCCAACAGAAAGATGCGTCTTTTCTACGATTAACGGCATGTCTATTTCTCTGAACTTTCGGGAAAATAAACTTGAACTCTATTTCTCCGTTCTCGATATTTTTTAGTTATTTGTGAGATTTAGGCGTTATCTTTCATTCTGACATTCTACGAGGACTGGGAAGAAGCATTTTTTGTATCGAATTCAATTTATAGAGCTAGAGATTTTCAAATGTCTGAATATTCAGATACATCAGTTGTAGTTGGGGCAACGTTCCCGGACTATACTTCATTTGAAAATACCTTCAGAATCAAAAGGTACTGCGGGAAAACAAAACTGATCGACCTTGGAAGTAACTTATTTTGCATTTAGTCACTAAAAACTAAAATCCTTCATATTAAAAAAAAAATCCCTCCACGCCCCGTTCATACCTTACACACACACAGACACACGCACACATACATACACACACACATGCACACTCACACACACACATACGGGCCACTCTTTTCGCAATTATTTTCAGCAAATCTCGAGAACGGAAACAGTGCGGAGAAATAAAGTTAAAGTTTTTTTTCTCGAACGTTTGGAGAAATAGAGCCGGCTGAAAAATAATGCACCGGTGGTGGTGGTCCGAACCATGACTGCAACGGAGTTTGCTTAGGGCGAAGGCTGGCACAGCGAAACAGTCACAGTCGACAAGGCCTCACTCGCTCAGTGACGCTCAACGTGCGGAACATGGCTTCGATGCCCTTCCCTTGTGCAGACCTGGCAACGCTCGATACTTTGAAAATAAAAGTCGTGAAAAGAAATAAGGAAGAATGCAAGAAGGCCAAGCCAAAGCAGGAAGAGGGGTGGGAGGACATGCAACTAAACGTAAAACGGCGTATCTTCCTGACTGGCTGCTAATTATAGTAATGTGATGTCATCACTACAAGGGATACCCACTGACTATTTTTATAAGGCGTGGAGGTTCCAAAGATCGTGTAAACATGATACTCGATACAGTAAACAATCTTTGAAGGTACCGCATTGAATGACATGTTGGGTCAGTGGCTTGACGTATTATCCGTATCAATGTGTTTCACACGTTAAAATTTCACACTTGCGGCTACCTGCAGCACGTCAGCCATGCTGTGGTGATGGAAGATGGATTTATTAGATTGTTCATGCTCAGAACCGTAAGAATGCTGATGCTTGAAATTGAAACACTGTATTTTTAAGCGCAAAGACAGTAAAGCGTGCTAAAATTGCCGTAAAGACGCCAATAAACAATGCGCAGAAGAGATAAGCAGCAGCATCATCGGAGCACTATATCATATGACATTACTGGTACGTCTCCTGGAAAAACATGGCACCAAACGTCATGCCATGATACTGATAGGGTATACACAATCTTTGGTGCCATGCGGTTTAGCTCATATAGTCAAGTGATCGGAGGGGTATCCCTGTCTGACGTCACTCAAGATGGCCGCCTGACCTAAAAACAGTTTGCATCGTTCTACGTTTATTCGCATGTGGTGGGAGGGGGTGAAAAAATGAAGAACCAAAAGGGAAAAGGGTAGGGGTGAAGTGAGCCAGGTCATTCTAAATTGCAAACTACATTGAGGGTGCTGTCAACGTAGCCTGCAAACTATGTTCTTCGCGCCAAGAACGTAGTCAGTGTGTTATGATTTTACTGGATTTGTTGGGCAAACTGGCCAAATTCACAGCGGATAGCTTGGGTTATATTAGGATAAGAGAAAAATTTTTAAGTGAAAAAGTTTTGAATTTTTTTTTTCTTTTTCTCTTCCCGACTGACCAACAAATTTTCCCGTGATTATAATTTGTTGCTTTGTAGTTTTTTATGTATTGATGAGTATGCACATTCTGGTTTTGTCCCCAAAAGGAGCTTTTTCCTACAAAGTAGGCCTATACTTTTCTTTTTACCAGTTTAGGCCTGGTTAAAGTTCAATACATTTAGTGGCTTTCCTTGGTCTGTGAGTCTTATTTTTTAAATATTTTTTTTTTAAGGCTGAGGAGAAGAAAAAAAACAACCTTACGGGACTGGGATTCGATGCCACGCTTGGAAGCACTGAACATTAGAGAATAACGTAGACACTACCCCCTGCTAATTAAAACGCCGAAGCCTAGATCAGGCGACGTAATGTGTGATGGCAAAATATTATAAAGTGCATGCAGAGATAATATTTTTAGGTATGTATGACAAGACTGTGGACAAGAAATATTTCTTACCGAGTTGTACCTTCTTGTTATTGAAATCCAAGCATCTTTTGACTTACTCGCTCAAACTCAAACTCAAATGATTATGATAATGAGAGATGAACAAGACTCTTTTTGTGCAAACAATGTCAGAAACAATTGTTAGATCTAGATCTAGACCCAATATTAATCGGAATAAGACAACGTCATAAAAAAAGGAGTCAAATCCTAGGAGGTTTATCAAGAAACTGAGAAAGCTTCCACAATTGAGGCAGAACTGCAATATTATTATGTAGAAACGATGGCTACTAGTACTGGTGTTTCAAATAGCATGGGAGCTAATCAGAATGTGGTGTTTGGAATAGTCCGTGCCTTTTTAAAAAGTATTTGATCGATAGTCTTTTTAATCAAACGATATCACACTAAGCCTTATTGCGTATTTATTTCCGCGCTTTGGACAAATTGGGGGGTTTCAGGGGGCATGCCACACACCCCCCCCCCCCCCCCCCCCCCCCGGAAGTCCTGAAAAAAATCTGGGAGGTTCCATCTGTTTTTTAACCAATTATGTGATTTTTACAGTTAGGTTCGAATTTTTTAAAGAATATAATTGATTTGTGATGGTTTTAGTGGCTATGTGCGTGATCTGCAGAAAAAAAATGCTACAGTTTGGCTCCCAAAGCAGTGCATCATAATAATATATGTGTGCGGGAATGAAAGTTAGAATTTACCAAAATTTGTTATTAAAAGTTATTATAAGGAAGCTTTGACTTTGGCTCTTTACTATAGCCTCTAAAAATCTTTATTTCAAGTCAAATTTTATTTAAAACAACAGTTTCACCCTGTCATGTGTACTATATGATTGTATTCTAATTAATACATTATATTCCTCGTCTTTCTGTTAGGAAACAAACATCTCCAATACAAGACATGTAAGTTGTTGTCTTCACTGTGAAACCTGCTCCTAGTCCTAGCCTCTTATTTGGTTTACAAGTTTGATCAATGATATCTTGCTTTTTCCTACCACATAATAATAGTCATTGTAAAAATGTGTCAGCATATGTTTACTCTTATGTTCACAACTTTTTCAGCTCAGAAGATGAGATAGATGTAATCCTCCATGGCACACCAGAACAACGCAGAAAGCTTAAACACCTACATGATAAACAGCTCTCCCAGAAAAATCCTCGACACGGGAAGAAACAGTTGACACACACTACCTCTCAACAAGATTCTTCCAGTGAAGATGAATTTGAAAAGGAAATGAATGCTGAACTTGACAGAAATGTGAAGTCTTTGGAAGGTTCAAGAGGTTTGTTGAGTTTTTTCATCATGTTTGAAAATTTAATTAAATGTAATTTAGAAATACCTTCAAAATCACTGATTCTCATTCTATCTATTCTTGCTATCAAAGTCTTATCATTTCTTTTTCTTTTTTAATTGTCTTGCTTTATTTCAAACATTATAATATAACCATGAATATGTCTCGATGCACTTTTCTGTATTGCAGATATATTACACTGTCTATAATGTGCTCCTCTTGCAGGGAGTTTGCTGATGGTGGTGTATGGAAAATTTACATTAGTTTAATAAGGGTCATTTAACTTTAGCTCTGGCAGTTGGTGGGTGGCGATTTAAAGGGGCAAGTAGTATGTTTTCGTGCATTCGCAAAATCTGGTGGTATGGCAGCTGGTGGTAAAATGAGGTTTGACTGTATTGCCGTAGAAATGAATGAGGTTTTAGGACATTATGCTTATTCCCAGTTACTACAAAAATGGGACAAAGAAGTTGTTTGCAGAGGTCTAATTTATGTAGTTTCTCATGATTATGGACTTGTTTCCATTGCAGTTAAGCAGTTGTCTTCTCAGAACTCTTCTTTGCAATCAAGATCAAGTCAAGGACAGAATGTCGGCACATCAGCATCATCCTCTCAAGGCGAACTTCCAATGTCCACAGATGAATTCTATGATGAAATTTACTTTGATTCTGATGAGGAAGATGAAACTGGTGGGACAGAAGGGAAATGTGAGTTTTAGGAAGATAAAAGTTTTGTGCTTTGTTACATCAGAACAGAAATTATAATTGAACAAGTTGTGTGGTTAGGATACCGAAACTCAAAGTTTTCAGTGAGTGAATAACATTTTGCCTTCACTTCAAAGCATCATGTAATGCAGTGTTACGTTTTTTATGTTTTCAAAACCAGGCTAATTCACAAATCATTTTATAAGTGGCTTAACAACATAAGTGATAAAAAGTGGTACTTGCAGTTCATACACGGTGATTCTTTTTAACATGGGTCACCAAACTTTTCTGAGTGAGCCGATTATCTAAGAGAAGGATGAGCACTGGAAACAACCTTTTTTTTTTCAGCACAGTACAAAGTACAATGAATACATAATAAAAACGAAAAACCCTGTGATTTATCAATATATAAGTATACCTTATCTATATACAAAATGCATTTTAAAAATAAAGATGAAAGGGAAGAAAAGGGGATCCTCTTTTGTATTGGGAAATTTGTTACGGTAAAAATTTTGTCACCTTGAAGCCAAGCAAAGAGTGTGATACAGTAGCTAGAAGTTATGAAGTTTATAAAAGCGCATTTAATTTTAAATGTTAAGTTGTATGAAATTAACAAATTACTTTGATAACCATTTCCTGAACATGATGTAAACACGTCTTCCAAAGTTTTTACTTTCCCCACATGGCAGCATGTGGTGGACCAGTTGAACTGACCCACCGGCCAAAGTTTGGTGACCCTAGCTTCAGAGCATCTTCTTGGGATGTGTATAACAAAGATTAAAAATTCCAGTAATCAAATTCTTGATGTGCCTTATTTTGTATTTTACGATTGAAATGAGTACAATGGACACAAACTGCGTATTGTTTCCTAGGTAAACAAAAGCATGCCGTGATCTCCAATGATGACCTTTTGTATGACCCTGACATGGACGATGAGGATCAGAAATGGGTAGACCGACAGAGGCAGAGTCACCGGAACATTCTTGGTGTGGGCAAGAGTACTGGCAAGAAGAAGAAAAAGATGCCCAACAGCGATGCTCTCTTGGATTGCCCTGCGTGCCTTACCACTCTGTGCATTGACTGTCAAAGGTTTGTATAATGCTGTCTCATCTCTTTGATTTCCACATATCTTATGCTGGAATAAGTGACAGTTTCAGAACTTTCACAGAAGTCATTACTGAATTTGATGAGAATTTAACTCTATGGAAAACAATTCTTAGTTTAATTTCAAGTTCCAAAGTACAATTTTTCAGTTTATAGCCTAGAGACTGTGAAAGGGTTTGGGGTTGTTGTTTTGTTTTTTACAAATGGTGGCCATTTTGAATTGTGAAGTTTTTTTGTGCAATAAGTTTGAATCTTCTTTTTTTTTTTCTCCATTTCTACAAACATAGATAGACCTTCTGGGGACATTCCTCGAGCAGTTAAAATCTCCAGAGTATACACCACTGATGTTAGCTTTATCATTAAATTATTTACATTGTTCTTTTTCTCTCAGAGTGATTTATGGATGTATCATGGTATCCATAGATTTTCACTTTTTGTATTATATTGATCATATCTGTTCTGCTTCAAAATGAACCAAACATGGACTAAGATAGTGAAGAAGAATCTACTTTTAAAAAGGGCCTATTCTGATGACATTTATACAAGTTAAAACTAGGGAGATTCTCATTCAGATGGTAGTGGCAGGTATGAATGTAAGACATTGTTTCCTCAGCTAATTACCCCCCACAAAGAAATACTGTACAGAAAATCGATCTAGATATGTGAAAGGGCGGGGGTGGTGGTAGCTTGGTTGTGGGCAGGATCAATATAAAGACAAACAATAAAAGGCTTCAGAGAGAAGAAACGGATAAGATGTAGACTGAAAATAAGAGGAATTTCACAGAAAATCTTTAAGTGTGACTTTTCCTCTGGTATGCCTTTGTATAGCCTACAAATTTTTGTTTGACAGTTCTAGAATTTATTTGGGTGAGAAAACCACTTCTGGCAAATATACTTGAAAGGAAGAGGGTTAACGCAATTGTACATTTTCAATAATTGGTTAGTTTTATTTCCCCCCCCGGTCTTAGGCACGATGTAAGCAAGTGTTGGTATCTCAGAGCACCAATATGCATTATACGTAACTGTTTATTTTATTTTTCTCTCCGTAGACATGAAACCTACAAGCATCAGTACCGCGCAATGTTTGTGATGAACTGCTCGGTGGACCGCTCAGAGACGCTCACGTGCCCCGAACAAGCCCCCAAGAAAAAGAAAAAGAAGAAAAACTCGTCAGCCACGAACTCCTCAGAGTCCTCAGGCAATGCAGGCCCCACAGATATGTTTAATCCTGTCAGGTGTACAGAATGTAACACGGTGGTTGGAGTCATTGATGCTGAGGAAGTGTATCATTTCTTCAATATTCTGGCAAGCCACACATAATGCATGCAAGTTGAGCAATCTTATATATCAGTGGAAGGCAGCTTGTAGTAGGACTGATTATTTGTCTTGATTTTTTTCTTGTTCGGTTTTTACCATGGCAAGGCTGAATATTCCACGATTCGAAGTAATGTAAATCTAACGTGTCAAATGTTATAAAGAAAAGACCCACAAAAGTCTGTTTAAGAAAGCAAAAACATTTTCAGAATAGATTGTCAAAAGTAGAAGTAAGCACCTACAAAGGTTGAATGCTTATCAAGCCAAACTGACCCATGTAGTGCAGACTTGAAAGTAAGAAAAATTGACTTGGACAACACAGTGACATCAGACAAAAGTCAAGCAACGAGTCAAGTGAAGACAAATCTGTTTTTGTGAAGAATGTCTTGGGGGGAACAAGCATCAGGCCATGAGGATTTGTCATGTAGGCTTTTGAATGGCAACAAAGCTCCTGTAAAATTTAAAAAACAACAAATCTACAAACATCACAGGATAACACCAAGAAGTAAGCTCTTGTTTCACACTCATGGGTACCCTCATGACCAAACAAACCTTTGTTACCATTTATTTCTGTGACTATGCATATGAGACAGTGGAACATCACCTTTCCACTGTACAGCCCTAAATGACATCAGAGCTACCCTTCTCCTTCCGAGACCTAACTTCGACAACACACTCTACGGAACATTACAGCAACTGCAGCAAACCTGCACTTATCACTACATGGCATTGGACAGAAGGGCGAGAGCCCAGATGTTGCTGGATCGATAACAACAATAACTACAACCATTTATTTCAACATAGTGATCCACCCACTTGTTCCACGCTTCATTCCCATTTCGGATGGACATGTGACAGACCTATCTATACATGTGTTTATTACATGTTATTAGGTATTTTTGTTTGGTTGTTTTTGATCATTGGGAAAGAGGGAAGTTTTTTTTGTTTTTTAATTGGTTGGGGTAGTTATGAGAAGTGAAATACAAACCTGTGTACCTGTTGTCAAAATTTTATGAAGAAAAACATTGTTTCTCAGAGCTTGACCAGTAAGGCATCTGGAACATAGAATGCTCCTTTGCAAATTGGAAGCTCTATAAGGCCTTACGTTGTTTGTTTTTTGTATTTTTTCTCGGGTACCAGTACCTTTTCTTCTTTACAGGTCCCTACTGTTAAGTTGAACTTCGGATGAGTTTATCTTTTTTTTTTCACTCCCCAGACGACTTCACAACTCATCAGTAAACTGGATAAAACGTTAATGTCAGCATCTTATAAGATTCTTTAACAACAGTGTTGTCCATCATTGTTACCGTATATTTTTAGTAGGCTGAAGTGGTCCTATTGAGCAAAAAGTATTCTTGCTGTACAAATATTACTGGATCAGTGAAGAGGAGTACTTTTTTACAGTTCTACAATGTTATGTATTTAACTTGAAGTGATTGAATTAAACCCATGAAGAAGACATGCTAAAACTGCATTCCTTATTTTCTCATTTGTGTTCTTGATATATGTTATTATTGTTATTTATTTTATTTATTATTTGCTTTAAAAAGTTTTAACTCTCCTGAAGACACCGTTACCCTCCTCTCTCTGTCTTTCTCTCTCTCTCTCTCTCTCTCTCTCTCTCTCTCTCTCTCTCTCTCTCTCTTTTAAAAAGTGTTAACTCGAGAGAGAGAGAGAGAGAGAGAGAATTCCACATGAGCCGAGTCATGAGCAAATCGTTACATGTGCGTGACTATCCCGGGCCGGGACGGGGAGACGACGTATTTTTTTAAAGTGACCTAAAATGAAAAGCAGGATTTCGTGTGTTGAGGTTGAAAGGGGTGGGGAGGGAGGGGGAGCAACAACAATAGTTTTTGCGTGGTCTCAAGTAATTGAAATGTCTGGCCTAACTTTTGTTTTAGATAAACTGCACGTGAGCAGGGTGCGTTGCGTTTCAAAGGGCAATTTCATACTTTCTACGACTGCACTGCACAAAGTTTCACGTCTTCCTGTGATTTAAGGTGATTCCTTACATAATCTGTACTGTATGTCTAAGAAACGTATCATTCAAAGATTCTGAAATAAAAAGAAAGCTGCTCTGTAAAATAGATTACCCTAGGATAATGTTGTGGCTGGAGCTTTTCTAATTCTGTTCATGTTCCATACTCAGTGCAGAACTATGAAGAGTTGAAACTCGTCATTTAGAGAGACCAGAGAGTTTTACAGTACATGTATTACAGTTTAACTCTGTGGAAGAGATCTAACAAGTTAAATGAACAACTGTCGCCAGCATGCAGAGATTATGGAATTCAGTTCTAAGGATCTTAAATTGAATAAGACTCGGTATTGGAACTTTTTTGAAAATATATTTTGTGTGTGTGTGTGTGCGCGCGCCCAGGATCTGGACAATAAATATATTATACTCGTAAATATGTGTATCTTAGCCATAGCGAAGAGTTCGCTATGATCTTCTTAGCTTATCTTTGTGTGTGTGTTGTGGGGGTGGGGGAGGGGTAAAGGGGGGGGGGTTAAGATACTTGGTGTACGAGACTTACCCTTTCTTTTGAAATAAGACCAAAGGATACATTGGTGAATGATGGGAGGGGGGTGGGAAAGGTTAAGTTCTAATTGATAATAATTTAATTAATATCTTTGCCCTTGGAAAGTAATGGAAAGGCCCTGGTATGTGTGTGTGTTTGTGTGTGTGTGGTACCATTCACATTATAAAGTAACATGAATTTATACCTGGCAGGACTCGGCTAAATTGTAAGTAGCCTTGACCTGAAAAAATTCCACACAAAATGTGAATGTGCTTGCATTACGTGCACGTCAGACTGCTCTTCGTCTCTTTTGGTTTCTTAATTTGGCTTGATATTTTTCGCTTCAAGATCTTCACACACACACACACACACACACACACACACACACACACACACACACACACAAACAAACAAACACGCACGCACGCACGCACGCACGCACGCATCACGTCTGACTAATAATGGAAACGGGAACGCCGCGTAAAGGTCAGTGTGTATGGAAAAATCAATCTATCTTCTGGACGTTGACAAAATTAAGCTCAAACAATATTATGTTGTATTTCTTGCAAGTACGACAGTCTTTCACTTAATTCAAAGCATCAAGTACATCATGTATGTCATGTATTGTGCAGACTTCGGCCGATCAACAGAGAGGAATCAGCTGATTGGCAATTTTGCGAAAGGGGTAGTCTACGAAGTTGCGACGGATTGGTTTGTTTTGATCGATCTCACGAGTGCTCCGCTGGTCGGCTTTAGGCTTTGCTCCGACTCATTCCCTCTCAATCGAGGTGTTGCGAGGGCTCACAGGTTTAACCAAGTCACCGTAAGTGTGATAAATAATAAGCGTATGAAGATGCTATGTTCAAAACTGAAAATAGTGACCTAATTTTTGTCTTCATCGTTATCAAGTGTTTCAAGATTTATTATGCGTTTATTATGGTTGCAGGAAGAGAAAGGGTTAATCTAACTTGGTCATGGTCGGCAATATTTTGACCCCCTTTCCCTTTCCTTTGTTTTGTTCTTCTCTGTTCACTGTGTGTTTGCGAACAGCGACTAGGCCTACTGTCAGTAGTTTTAATCTTTCTGATGGCTTTGTAGTTCAAAGTTGAATCCGAGCCTGAAGACTAGACATTCGAATGAGTACATTGTTCATAGTAAGCCTATGCAATCTTCTCGTCTCTCAAAGTATAGTTCCACAACAGTAGTCAATAATCGAGAGATCGAGGACAAGCCAACATACCAACTGCGATCAATTTATTTACCGTTAATTAACCGTTATTAACTAGGCTTACATAGTCATATATTAATATGATAATAAAGCAGAGAAAGAAGTTAATGAATCGTACAGAACAACTCGTAAATCAGACAATGTATTTTAAGTCCCTCCGCGAGGAAGTTGATGTGAGAATCCCTTACTTCAGTCAGAAAAATACCGACAGGCCCAAATAGGTCTGCTGTGACTATTCAATTCAAAATGAATATGTAGTATACTCAGTATGGTGAGCAGATCTTTGACAGTAGAATGTTGGGTGGCTCGAGACATGAAGAGTACAAAAAAGAAATTCAATTATCAAATTACCTGTTATCAAAGTTGTGTTGGCAAAAGCCGAAAAGTTTTTACTTTTATTGTTCTGAAGCTACGGAAGCGGACAAGCAAGACTTTTTAAGAGAGGACCGTACAAGAACCAAAATTACAAATTTATTTTATCGTTTTTCTAAACTGATGCTGCCTCATGCTCCTCCTCCAGATTAAGTTAAAATTAATTTAGTCAGAATTTAATGAACTGATTGAACTCTTTTTATGTCTTACTGTTGTATTTGTAAAGTGCTCAGAGCCAGTGTGCTTTAATCGGGGTTGAATAAATGCCACATAATTAATTAAATAATTACACAGTCAAATCCTATTACGACCGCACAGGCCTACCTTGAGACGAATATATAAAGTTGGCGGTTCAACGGATCTGGCAGAATAATATATATAATGGGATAGCACTGATTGCCATCTTTACTAGTGATAGATAGACTCTAGATCGGGACGCTGTGGCCAGCCATGCCTCATCTAGGTCTGTCTTGCGCGATTGCCATCATGTGCAAGGGAAAGATTTATTAACAACCAATTACATGTGCATCTCCAGCTATACTTTACATAAATTAGAATTTATAAAGCTGTAGGCTATATGTGTCAAGGACCCTGTAGACATAAAAACTATTTTTTATAAAAAATAAAAAATTGGTCAGTCTTCGGTTACCTAAGACCTCTGTCATGATATTAGACTTCAGTGTTAGTCCTCACATTATAAAAAGCCTCAAAGGCACTTGCCAACCTTTTGGTCGTCAGGCTGATATCTAGGGACACCAGATATTTTGCCGGCAGGCTGATGTGGTACACTGGTTTGAAGTTTCTCAAGGCGACTTTAAAATTTCATTCCATTTTTTAAAAATGTATTGGCCAAAGCCTTATAATTTACATAATATTATATCTAAGCAAAATAAGGAGCAAATCAACAACAAGCACTAGAAATTAGCCTATTGTCCAGTGAGAGACTTTATTGCACAGTGGAATCCTATATAACGAGAGGGAGGGGACCGGTGTCAAATGTCCGTTATAGCAAGATTCTCGTTATAAGGGACCCAGTAATAAGTTAAAGGAAAATAGTAAAGTAGGTCTAATCTATGAGCCTGGTTTTCGGTTTATTTCTTTTTGTAATCTCCCCTGATTATGATTTGGTTCAACATGACCTTTAAGTCTTACTTGATCAAAAGTCGAATCAGGTTTCTTTCTCAAACGCTAGCGATATTGACAGCTCGGCGTTGGCGATCAGAAAGAAAGTTCTCTAGGCTAACTCGCCCGCTGTGTTGTCCCCCACCCCACCACACCCTGTGGTGCGTTCCGCCTGCTTGCGCACAAAGGAAACATACCACACCCTGCCCACGTCACACATTCACTCTGTCCATCACAGTACAGCACTATGACCTCTCCATCCCCACATCGGTGAAGTGAGAGGCGTGGTAGACCTAGATAATCTAGACGAGGCTGGCCTATCACACAATGCGTTCTGCTTGTCCATGCATGCCACACTCTCCCCACTCATTCAATCAGGCCTTCATTGTTGGCACTCGTGGGCTCTCCCATTCTTTGTTTCGCTAGATCACCAACAAGTTTCTCAACTGGCGAGGTTTTACATGAATAAATGGCCTATGCGCTGTGCACAGCAGCAGCTATATTCCGGTGTAACCGACTCCCATATTTGTCCGATTGCGCTATAGCAGTATTTTATTTACAAAGATAAAGAAGGGAAAAAACGGGATTTTAGAATAGTGTCTTAATAACAGACTGCTCGTTGTTTCAGGACTCGTTATAAGTGGATTTCACTGTATAAAATAAAAATGAAGGGTTTTCAAGAAGTCACTGATTAAGTGGGTGTCTTTTGCTGTGTGTAGTGTGCACCTCTGACGGTCAATTATATTATTCACTGGCGGTATATCGGGATAAATTCACATTAGATTTTAATTAAGAACCATACTACTTGAGACAATTGGTGGATGGCGATGTTATGGCACAAATAATGCGTTCCTTTTCATACTTTCATACACTGGCTAAAGCTGGAGGTAAGCGGAGCTGATATTACGGAGGTGAGGGGGGTATAATGACATTAGACTGCACTTGGTTAGGCCCTTTATGAAAGTTTGAATTATATAGCTTCCAGAAAAGCAGAAATACCTGTTTGGGTATCATCACAGCCAATGGATAGAATGATGGCTGCAGTCAGACGCGGAAGGGACTGAAAGACCAAGATTGGTTCAAAGTTCCACTTGCTGAAATCTTCTGTTAGCAGTACTTTTCATTCGTCATTTCATGTTTACATAATTTGGATGTGGTTCCAAGACACTGCTGTTTGCTGAGGCTAAATGATGAATTCTAGTATAGTAGTCTCCACCTAAGATCCCACCGCTTACTCGGACCCGATTCATTTGAAATCTGGCTCGACTGTTTTAAGAAAACAGAAAGAATTTTTACTACACAAAAGTCACCCCTATGATCCAGGCACAAAATAAGATCAGTCAGAAGTGAAATTTGTGATCATTGAACTGCTTGTCATGTCACAGATCAGCCACTCTCATGAATGTGATCTCATGTCTTTTGTAAATCTCAATGAAATGGCGCAATGTTTGCCCCTGATGGGATCACACCAAGGTGTGAACTCGTTGACGCATTTGTTTTCCCCAATCATTGCACTCCCATCTGAGCTCTCCCCATAAACTTACTTCACACGCTGGGTGGGTAGGGCCTACAAGTTTGCTCCTGGCAGGATCACATGAACTATGTACTCTTCCCTGACTATTGCAGCAGTTTTCGCTACTCCCAAATTTACGAGAAAGACTGAATTTTAATTGATGTGGTTAAAATGCAATGATGCGTAACGACAAAGGTAGGGGAACTCTGCGAGAGATGGAAAGCTATAAATTTTAGACAGGTGTAGGGGAGGACTAGATAAATGTAGATCTGAAACTGACGATAAGTGAAAGTGGCATGTCTTATCCACTGATTGGTCGTCACGGCTGACCACTCTTTGCTTGTCATAAGTCATAAACCCACCCAGGGGTCGCTTAAGTTCATTTTAGAGTAAAGGGAGACTATTTTAGCTGTTGTGTACCTAAACATGGGTCACTGTGAATTCTTCCCTTTGTGCCTTGGCTAAGATTCTGTTCGCCTAAGATCCAGCATTTTCCTTGCTCCCGAGCATGGGATCTCAGGCAGAGATTACTGTAGTACCTGTAAACTTTTTAAAAAGTAATTGCATTGTTTTGACGCTATAATTATTTTACCTACTGGTACAGCCATAGAATATCATGTAGCATATTGCCTTTCTTTGTAACTTGTATTGCTAGATTATATTTTATGGAATCTAAAATTGTGATCATAACTCTTTTTCAGATGGCTGTGTTCACTTTGGAAAGAATCTCAACCCTTGGAAGGTTTTACATTTATGCAATTCATGGATATGCCACAGAAGTAATGTTCACTGCATTATGGGAGTTTGTTGTCAATATGAACTGGAAATTTCCCGGAAATACAAGTATTTGGTAAGAACAGCACTTCATTTAATTGTCTTTATTATACTCATATAATCAAAAGTTATTTTTCAAAACCCTCAAGTTTGTGAACATTGACGAAATGGATGTTTATCAATGTTGTTATTTTCAAAGAGTTTTAATAAATTATGATTTAATTGCCACAGTCATCCAAGGACCTAGCCACCTTTGACATGTAATGAGTCTTTGTTTCTTTCGCCATGGGAGTAAGCTAAGGAAATTTATCTGCCATAGTGTTAAGTGTACATATGGCTTTAACAAATAGTAAGATGTGGCAGAAAAGATTTGTTCAAACAATGCAGTAAAAGCTACACCTAAGCATAGGAAGGAATAGGATTTGGGATGATAGTCTACTGCAGGCCCATCACTAGTTTAATTTGTTTGCCTACTACTGGATGATGCAATTTTTTATGTCAGAAATCTTTTTTTTTTAAATTGCTGTTAGACATTAAAATACTATTGTGAAAACATAATCAATGACCAATGATAATCTCGAAAGCGTGCTGGCATAAATATCAAATTAAGGCATTGCAAGTCATACTTCACAGAGTGTTTGTCTCCATTTGAGGCCTAACATTTAGCTGTTTGGTGTCAAACTAAATATTACTATGCAAGTAGGCTATTTTATAGAGTTCACTATTGAAGAGCAACAGCAACTTCTTTTTTCTCTTGAGCTGAAAGAGTTTTACAATCATTTAAGAGTTTAAGAGTATATTGAAGTACTGATCAATGGTCACTGATCAGTGATCAAGGATATCATGAGTAAGATGAGCTAAGTATGGGTTTCCCATGAATGCTTTAATTATTTATTTTTTGTCAGTGTTTCAGGAGGTTATGCCATGATTTCTAAATAGCTTCCATATAATATATAGATGCAATCTTATCTTCTAGTTTCTGAATAACCTCCACCATTTTCTACCCTTCTATCATTGCTGTTTGTATTTTTTTTTTTTTCTGCCTATTTCATTTCACTTTTCATCATCCTCAGGTCGTTCCCCATCTATGGACTGTCTGGCCTTGTTTTTGAGTATCTGTACCTTTGCATGAGCAGCAGAGGAATCCCATTGCCTTTGAGAGCTTTGGTGTACACACTTTGGACCTATTGTTGGGAATTTGGTACAGGCTTCATTCTTAAGCAGTTTGGAGCTTGTCCATGGGATTATACACCTTTCCATGGAGATTTTATGGGCATCGTTACTTTGGAATATGCTCCACTGTGGTATCTCGGAGCCATTGTGAATGAGAAACTGGTGATGTACTATTCAAGAAGAATCTTCTTTGGCCCTCCTATGGAGGAGATGAAAGAAACGTCAGTCAAGCAGGACTCAAAATTGATTATCAATGGAGCTGCTGGTGATGTTGAGAAAAAAGCAGAATAATGCACTCTTGTACATGACTTTAAAATAATAAAACCGAAAAAGCTGAACTTACTTGGATCTTGTAAGACTCAATTAAGGCTGATATAACACAGGTATGACCTCCTCTTAAGTTTTTAAGTTGGCAAATGAAATGGTGATGTTTTAAGAAAGCAGTGGCTAATTGTAGGCCTATTATTCAGAAGACTAACTTCTAAGAATACTTGACATTGTTCAAAAAGCAAACTGTCCCCTCTGAAAGAGCATTCTTGTCTTCCTTGCTACAGTTCTTTTATGCAGATAAATACAGCAAGGAAAAATAAGTAGTTTATTGTGAGGTTAATGCTACAAGTTGTACGACAATGGTTTGATGTTGCAGTGTGAACAAAAGATATCAATTTTAAAATATTTTTTATTGTACTTACTTTGATGGCGATGAAAGTGGGTTGGAGTGATGAAAAATAAGAAATGTCAGGAAAAGAACTTGTGGTTTTTTTCATGTTTTCAGGTGGTCTTCACAATAAGCTGCTGATTCTGCCTGTTCAGTAGATCTAGATACTGAGTGCATTGTCTTTGATGAGAATTTTTGCATTGAGATTTTCAAACTTTGACTGTCATGTCGTAGAAGATATGAAATGATAGTTGAAAGCTGAGTAAGTGTAACAGTGTTACGCTTTCAACTCTCTCCGAAACAGATACTAAATCTGGTGAATAAGTGCTTTCGTATTGATATTATTTAGATGTTGTGACCCTGGAAAAGGGTAATCTTATATTTGTTTGATTATTTGAGGGGGGGGGGGGGTGGCAAGTTAGATAATGAGTACATTTTGAGACTTGAAAAGAAAACGAAACCCCCCTGTGTATTTATTCATGCATTAGACTACAAATCTTGACATTACAAATATTATGACAAATTAATGACGTAAAATTGTATTGTTTTAAACTATGTGAGGTTTGCATACTTTTTAAGAGACTGGTCTTTTACAGCTTATGTGATAAATGTGGTAGATACCGACAACTGAAATTGCTTGTCTTTCATTTTTGACAATAGAGCAGTGGTTGTGGTCCGGGCATAGGCTCCTGAGAGACAATACTTCACAGCTTTTGCCGTTAGATTATGATAACAAATCTGGAGTCCTTTTAGAATTGTGATAATGTACGGTAAACCTTTGTAAAAATGCTAGGGCCATTAAAAAAATATTTTATTGTTTGACATTCCCCCCCCTAACATTTTTTAAATAGAAGTAATTTTTAACTCTTTAAACCCTGAGTTTTTTCCACCATTTCCTGGAGTTTTTTCTACAGTCACCTAAACCTGGTGCACTATGTCTCATTATAACCCCCAAAGCTTGCCTCCAAATTCTAAATTGCGGAAACAAAGGCTTAGTCCTTACTAAAAAACTTGGATCGGGAATAGTTCTGAAAAACAAGAAGAAACCATCACTAAATTAAACGAAACAGTTGTCACTAGTAATGGACGCTCCCAGCGTCCGACGGGGAACAGGGTTATTACTGCCGGATGCTCCCAGTGTTCGATGGGGTTTAAAGAGTTTGGGTGTTTGAATTTGCAGAGCTGTGTTTTTGAAATCCATTGAAGGAACGACAACTTTTTAAAAAGGAAGTTGTTGAAATCAGTATTGTTTGTTGCATTTAGCTGATAATAATGTGAATGCCATTGTAGCTTTCTTATTGTTATTTATTTTAAGCAACGATTTTAATGACACCTTTATCTTGGGTTGAATAATAAAATTTGTGTTACTAACATGAATTGTCATTAAAAAAACAGATATTACATAAAATCAATCTAATTTATAATGATGCCTTAATTTTTGTGAAATACTGTTTGCTTTGCAAGTGAAATTGTTTTTGTGTTCTTGAACAAAATGAAACATTTTGACTAGTCTTTAGACTCCTTCATTTACATTGGTTTTGCATTTGGTTAGAATCCTAGCCAAATTTTTTTGCCTCTATAACAAGAGATCCATTAATTTTGGTGAAGAAAACACCCGGATGGCTGTTTAAATGGGTGAAAGGAAATATGTGAGGTTAGACAGCTCTTGCTGTTCTTCCAGCCGACAGAGCAACCAAATTATCTCTTACGTGTTGGAGAGTGAGAGTATAAGTTATGAAATGACATATAATTGTAATACATTATTATTACATTTCCTATTTGGACTTTTTATCTAAATGCTCTTTTCATCTCAGAAGTTTACTGCTGCACCCTTTCTGATCTGTGTCTGTATAAATAAAAGAGCATGTTGGCCAACACCCCTACATCTCCCTGCATATCTACGATCTACGGTCTTCTTTACTTAAACTAGCTAAAAGTTTTTGTTCATTTGCCTCACTCTGTTTTCTGACTTTACTTTCTTAGGCTTTAAACCTCTTCTCAGTCTCAGAGGACAACAATGACAGTCTTCAGCCATCTTCACAGCAAGGCATTCCTTTCTAATTCATTCCCATTTCGTCACGGCCATTTGATGTCTGGCTTTTGGTTGTCCCTTCAAGTGTCATTAGGTCTGCTGTTTCTATCTATCTTTCCCTGTTGCATTCCTTTTATCTCGCTGATAAAACTTGACAAATTGTTGATACACAGAATTACCTGATCAACCAATTATAATTAAATATCAATATCAATACGGGTATTTTATCGATACATTTTGCTGTTTTAGCAAAAATTCTTGTATACACCCATCTTTTAAAATTCCATTGCCAAATCAAAGAAACATTAAGTAGGGTCAAGAAATTATTACACTTAAGTTCCATGAAAAAGAGTTGATTTATAACAGTTTGTGACCAAGTCATTCACGCTAGGAGAATTTGTCCTTCGTATGCGTCTGCTTTTTTGTGACCATGGTTCACCATATTTTACAGAGGTCTTTCCGAATGATTTAATAATTCTAACAGAATGCTGAACTCTGTAAATACAGTAGTCAAATGTCTTTTTTTAAAGAATATTTATTGTATCCTTTTTACTTTCAGCTTGTATTTAAATTTGTTGTGGCTTTGTCTTAGTCTTAGCACAGTTGACACTTCTTATAGACTTGATGATGTGATAACTTGCATTGTCATCGGATAATGTAGCCTATCTTTCACAGTTCTTCAATAATTGTAGCTCATTTTGTCTTTTACACTTATGATACTCAAAATGCACACATTGTTTAAAATTTTCCCTATAGTAATTCAAATCATCTTTAAGTCCTGCATTCTTTTAATACATGTGTTATGTGTTCCAATGGCGATATCTTGTTGAAGAACTTGTTTTTTGGGGGGTTTTTTTTGTTCATTTAGAAGTGACATGGAATTGCAGACAGTAATATATTGTAATTCCATGAACTGGCATCTTGATAACCGTGAGTGTCGTGAAATTGCCACAGCCTAACAGTCCCCTCTGTTGAGTCTCAGTCTGTAAGAATATAAAAAGTATTCAGGATCGGTGCAGCTCTTTTCAATTCTTTCTAGCATTTGCTTTGTTGTGGTATAAATGTGCTACAAATTGTGTGCGTCGTTGTTGTAATCACTATTGAATAGGTGGTGCTCAAAAAATGTCAGCTGTTTCTTTTCAAATCTTTCATATTTCGTCATGGTGAATGTTGAGATTTGCAGTCAAAGATGCAAAGTAATCTTTGCTGTGACATGTGATGCTTTTGTTTTTTCGGTTTTGTAGTAATTGTTTTGACCTTGCAGAGTAGCATTTTGTTTTACTCACGGGTTTATATATTCCTCTTTTACTCGAAGAACTTGCATTTACACATATATGAACTTTGTTTCGACAATCATATTGTTAAAGTTAAATGAAAAAGTCAATATCTCAAACAAAAATGAACATGACATTGCTCTAATTTTAAAAGGCGGTTTCAATATTATTATTGGAGTGCTTATATTGGCAACATGTAGCCCCAACAAGAACCCCCCCCCCCCCCCCCAACTTTATTTAGACTACCCTTTCATCGCGATGATAAATGATCTTTAAAATTGAAGAGTTAGTTTTGCTTTCCCAATTTGTCATTATTTGTGATTTGTCCTTCAGTTTAATCTTATCTACGTGCTCAACAACAGTATACCAGTGTTTATATTATAATTATTTAATATTAACATATTTTTTTTGGGAAAAAAATTTGCTGAAACCGGATTATCAGAAAAGACGTAAAAGGACACCAGGGAATTTCAGTTAAATGGGGGCATAATCCTCATTGACCTATGACCGTGATGTGGTGGATCAAGTTCAAGATTGATGCTGCAATTGCAATATGTTGAGACTTCATTCTACTCACTTTGCCGAGTTCAACATTCAGTAGGCTAGGCCCAGATCTATATTCCTATACTGCATCTTTCTCTTGTTAACTCTTTGTCTCTGGACTTTGCATTAATATACCAATGTATAAATTATAAACCATGATAAATACTCTAAAAAATAGACGTAAGAACCCCTGTGTATTTCTGTTAAAATTGATGGGGCCCACATATGACTAACTCTGTCTTTTTGTTTCGTTAGATCCATTTCTATGTGATCTGTTGAGACTTTCTTTCAATTCACTTCATCGCATTTGGCATTCAGTAGGTCTGGAATCTTCTAGATTCCTTTCGGCAACACCGTTGCAAAGAGGATAGGACAATGCAAACTAAATCTAGATTAGACACAGTGACAACCTGCAAGCTTTGCATGGTCAGAGGGGTGAGACGTTTAAATGTGGATGAGAGTAGCCCAAATAAGCTTACCTGGGGGTAGTGGCCTTATCTGGGCTACATACAGCCCAAATTAGGTCACCTTATTATTAGACACATTAATTTTGGGCTTCTCTTTTTAGATGTCAAAAGGCAGTATTCTCATCAATAAAGCAAACTGGTACAGATGAATAGCACATTATTGATATTTCTATCTTTTGCCTCTCATGTCAAATGTATGAGTATTGTGTATGGGAAATTGTTTTATGTCATCTGTCATTTTTATTTATTTATATTTTGGAAGAGACTCCCACTCGTGTGTATGCGTGAGTGGTGGGGGAGTTTATGCTGCTCAAAGATGTATGATAAGAAAATCAATGAAGAAACCTGAACTTAGTGCACGTGAAATCTCAAACATCTGTTGTGGTTTTGGGTGTGAATGGTCTGAACAAATACAGTCTATGACTTGGACATGGTTCTAGTAGTTAAATTCCTGTGGATGTTATTGGCGATGTACTGTATGCATTTTGAAAATGGTCATTGGCAAGCACAACTTCATCATTTATTTATAGCAGGGGTTCCTAACAATAAAATTATTCCACAAGTCATTTGATCTATATATATCATATTTTGATTGGACAAATTTTTCTTTAGAGCTCACTGCTTGATAGGCTCAAGCATTCTTAAATCTGGATTGACCATTTTTGTTGCTGAATTTTTAAAGCTTTTTGTAATTTTGATTGTCCAATAGCTGCTTCTTATAAAACTCTTTAAAAGAACATTTCTTTTGCATCCTGTCAGTCAGTTACCTACCTTTTATTTTGGTTTGTATTTCATATTTTTTAATATTTTGTTTTATTAGCACTTCAATTTCACATAATATAATAAAATGTACTCATGTATGGACACAGATTATAGGGAAAGTTTGATGATAATCTTTTAATATGTAGGCCTATTTTGACTGATTGTGCAAACTTGATCATTTTACATTTTCGTCGTACAAAAAAAGGATAATTTTTTTTGCATACATCCTCTCATAACAATTTTATTTAAAACTTTTTAGACGGTATTATGGGCTGTTCATTGGAAATTAAATTTGCTGGAATTATATAATTTTGGGAAGATTGTGAAAATGAAGAATATTTCCCTCTAATGGAATAGTAGCACTTGGTGTTGATTTGATAATAGTGTAGGTCTAGAATTTTTTTTTTTAAAATACAATTAGTATGATTGAGGAGATTTTCATGTTTATGCTTCGTATCATGTATTGGTTAGTACTGCACCAAGACTTTTGATGGTAAAGAAAAAACCAACAAGAATGAAGCTGAGAAAAGATGAGTTGTGTTGATGATTGTCAGTATTCAAGAATCAAGGCGACGAGACAGAATGAGTGAAGTCTGAAAGCATTGTTGATACTACTGTGTTAGTATACATGATACTTTGCAATGATAATCACATCGTCGAGATTTTCAGGTAAACACATGATGTTATATTCTGTATTGAATATAATGTAAATTGTGGTGTTCTCACGAATTGTGTCACATTCTAGTATTTTATTTATTTTGTGCCATGGTTTTGCTCTGAAATTGCAATGCTAAATGATGGATCTGGTAGAGTTACACATGGTCATGTTTTTCTTCGATTTTTGTCATGCTTTCCTGAAGTTTTGATTTTTATACACAAATATTTTTTAAAATCATGTCTCAATGTTTCACTCCTCATTATATTGCTTTTTAGGGTTTTTGTTGTTTTTGTTGTTTGTTCACTTATTTCTTTCAGTGAAAAGTTGAAAGAGTTTTGGGATTTGGGCAGAAATATACTTGTAAATCTCAGTCAGTAATTTTTTGTTTTTTCTTTGCGGACTTTTATCCATTATACAAATAAAGTGACCAAGTTGTGTACAAGGATCTGTTTTCAGTGTTTAATGTATATGCATCTGTTTTTTTGAGGGGTAAAGTTTTGGATGCTTTCATATTTTTTGTTTTGTTATAAAGGACTAGAACAAAGTGTCGAGAGATAGGCCTATTTTTTTAACCTGGTTATATACAATTTGATCCTTCATTGATGTATGGTTGATGCTTTCCAACGAATTATGATGTGGACGCCAACTGAGAAATATCTATGTTCAAAATAACATTTGGGAGAACTGAAAGATTAAATATGAAATTAAAAATCTGAATGTGACATAGTGAGAGGCGCAGAGGTGGCTCAATGTCTCAAACCAACAATTCAATAGAGGCCTGATGAAGTGACATGAGAAGGAAACGATTCATTTTTGTTCATTAAAGTCGTGTTCATTCAAGCTACCAGTTTCTCATTTATGAATCTAAGAATTGTGTCAGTTGTCAATGTTACAAGTTTGTTGGTTTGTCATTTTATCTAGGGAACATCAGTACAAGGTGCAAGTGAGAATCTGAGAAGCACGTTGGTCCCATTTTTTCTTTTGTAACTGTAGATCTGTTTTCTGAAGAAAAAAAAACGAAGTACATGCACAGGGATGCTCGAAAGGAGTACCATGTACTTACTCTAATGGCGTGGTATTATCGGTACTAATTAGACTTCTTGATTGGCAAAGTGACTTTTATTAAATGGTTTTGAAACTCTTAGGTTTCGAAATTTGCAGGTTTGAACTTCACCCACTCAATTCCACACGACAATTATTACATAGGGGGATATATTGTACTATGTTTGAAAGGCAGTACACATAAGGTTCATTAGAGCATAAGTTAAAACTATTGTATTTTATTATTCCCCTCCCCCCCCCCCCCCCCAATTCTCTTATATCTCTCTCTCTCTCTCTCTCTCTCTCTCTCTCTCTCTCTCTCTCTCTCTCTCTCTCTCTGACCTCTCTCTTCTTTTTCACTATGTGTTTAGCTGTTTGACTGTATGATATATCTAAATACATGTACTTCCTTCACCCAAAACCCCGAAGTATTATGAGAACATTATTAGTCACACGCTCGTAGTGGATCCCATTCCTCAAGGTGTGGGTATGTAGGGAGGAGGGGATATTATTGGGAGCTTTGCTTCAAACTGTGAGGTTACCCTCCTTCTCCTCATCGCTCTGTAACGTATATACATTGTACTAATCTCGACCCGGCTTTCTCTTACTTTAAAGTCCCGTCCAGGCGTGGATGTTTGGTGGGTGATCGTCCGCTGCAATGTTCTCCTCCAACGTGTACATCTCTTTTTAATGTTACTGGTTCATGAATCTTAACCAGTGGCTCCAGCATATTTTTTAGGCTCCTCGTTGTTGCACCCAAGACTTGGGTTGCACCCATAAGGGCAGATGGTTGGTGGAGGGCGCCACTGGTGGTAGGTCCTACTTCTTTACTTTTCCTTTGTTGTTTCTGTCGGGCTGCCTGTCTTACTCTTACTTTTCCCCAGCACTAAATAACGGTTATTGTGTCGATGTGCTTCACTTTATCAAATAACAATAACAACCATAATAACAAGCACTGTACTGTCAAGCACCTGTCACGGTTGTCACAGTATTGTACCTTACTCTTTTTGAATCACGGGACGTAAGCGCCCCGTATGCCATGGGCTTTTTGGTTACTGTTACTTTCTTCGGGGATCAACATAAAAAAGTCAGACACTACACCCAGGCTCATTATTAGGTTGCTTGGTGTCGTGTGTGTTCGTCATCGTCTCTCCCGTTTACAGTCGTGGGTGAATACTAACATTACACTTCAGCAAGGGAGGGAAACACATTTCCAAGGGATATAACAATTAAAATATTTTGCTACTGCAAGAAATACGATCTATTTTTTCTTTTCTTGGAAAACGATCTACCAGTAAATTTGTCAATGCTGGAAAATTACTTACAATAGGAATATTCAAGTCTCTTTAGCTTAATTTTGCTAATACAATATTTTTAAACTATTGTTTGCACTTTAAAATATTACGGTTTTAATAAGTAATTTTCATTAGCTTTTCAAATGAACTTAAGTATTCATATGTATTTTATTTTTTGTAGTCCTATACTATAAGTAGATCATTCCTTTCTCTGGAAAGCGGAACTTGATTCCGCTGAAATGAACCATAAGCACGATTAATAATATCACATACATGCGGACGTCTGAGAGAGCGGTGTGCAATGGCACTACGTTGCGCAGATCTTAATTAGCCTCACGCATAGTGTACACTTGGCTCTTGGTTTTAAAAAGGAGACAACTCCTAGGCCTCACAGCTCAAATACGTCCAAAATACTGTATCCAACTCGGCATCCGAGGCAGGTAGTTCTCTTGGACAGTGTCGTCGTAATAATAATGATAATAATAATAATAATAATGATAAATGATGATGATGATTTTGTTACTATAGCTTGTAGTCAATAGATTTTCCATTATTTTTTTGTACATGTTCCTGAAGAAGCCCTTTACAGGGCGAAACGTTGAACTTATATTGAATTTGAAAAGTCTATAAAAAAAAAAGAAAAAAGAAAATCAGTCATCGAAAGGATACGACTGTGTCGCAAGAACATCAGTCCGGGTAACGAGCGGGTCTCCTGACCACTCGTCCACTTCGGGTAGTTGTTGGAGCAGGATTGGCTGGAGCGGCTGCTGGCTGAGGTGATGGTGGTGTGACATCAGGCTCCACTGGCTGGGCAGCTGGTGGCGGAGGTAAGGGAACGGATATCGGAGTAGGCTCTAGGGTGGCAACAGATGAAAAAGGCATGGAAGGAGGGTCGACGTAGGGCTTCAGGTGTTTGCGGTTCCGGCGGTAAGCCCTATCCCCAGACTGTATGATGTAAGACCTGGGTACACACCGTTCTTTGACAATCGCAGGGCCACGCCACTCCTTGTCGTTCTCCAGCTTCTGCAGGACGAGTTGAACCAGGGTTCAGCTCCGGGAGGTTCTGGGCACCGTGACGTCTGTCAAAAGCTTATTTGTACTTACGCTTCGACTCAGCGTCTCTGGCTGCAATCTTCGCCCTGTCGTAGACCTGCTGGTTCTGGTTTGACGGTAGAGTTGGCAGGGTCGTCCTCAGGCGTCTCCCAAGAGCAAGCTCCGCTGGGCTGGCCTCCGTCGGTGACACAGGTGTAGACCTGTAGATCAGGAGGGCGAGAAATGGGTCGTCCTGTCTCAGGGCTTTCTTCGCCTCCTCGACTGCTCTCTCCGACTTGCCGTTGCTCTGGGGGGGAAATGGGGACTGCTGGTTGTGTGTTTAGCCCCCAGCCCTTGGCGAACTTGTGGAAGCGGTCTGACTCAAACTGGGAACCGTTGTCAGTCACCATGAGTAGTTCCGGAATGCCATACCAAGCGAAGATATTTTTCAGTCTCTGAGGTGGTGTCTGGCATGAAGGCCACCTCCAAGTACCGTGAGAAGTAGTCCACGAGTACCAGGTAGTCATGCCCCTTGTAGTTGCAGAGGTCTGCATCAACCATTTGGAACGGCCGCTCAGGTAGAGCCGTCGGGTTTAGAGGTTCGCTTGGTTGTGCTGGACGTTTCCGCTAGCAATGGTCGCATCTTGAGACGACTTCC